ATTTTGGAGCCTTTGCTTTCCTGAGCTCAGACCTTTATCCAATAAATGGGATGACCACAAACATTGTCCAGATCATATAAAAAAGGGTGACTTCTGGGAATATAAGGCTGCACACCTATTCCGGTCATGTCCAACTGAGATTCCATTTGCTTAATGTCATAGGGCTGTTAAACACATTGCTCACATGACTTGTGTACAAACTGCAGTTAACTACCCAGTTCCTGGTCTGCCTACCTGAGTAGAGCCCTGGGCTGAACGAACATAAAAAAAAGTAAATGTCATTATGTAATATATTAACCAAAGTGTTTTTGATGAACGAAGTAAGGGTCATTATTCTGCTCTACAGAACTTCAAGGAGGCTTATGCTGAAGGCTTATTTCTGATTTGAGAACTATGGTTTAACAGAGATGTTGCCTAAGTGGAGGAAGTAGAACAGCAAAAGCGAAAGGAAGGTGGGGAATCATAGTTCACAGGGAGAGGCAGCTGTGTGCCTACAGGGGTAGCACAAGCAGGACAAGGCAACCTGCACAGAGAGGGCTCACCTTTCTTACACCCTCTTGAATGACCAGCATGGTTCTTTTGGGGAATTTGCTAGATTCCGTGCAATGTTAGCATCAAATAAACAAGAACCAATGTCCCACAGAAAAAAAGACAAAAGGACTCAGCAACCTTTGGATGTAAGTATGACAAAGCACTTAATGCCTTCTTGTAATTTTGGGACTGACTTCACCAACAGCATTACAAGGCTTTTTCCTTCCTGGAGGTGTAGTGGAGGCCAACACAGAGCTTTTGTGCTGCTCTTCACCTCACAGAACAATACAAGCTCCACTTACAAAAGCTCTTTGCAGTCACCATAGCTGCATCCACTGCAGGAAGAGCTGACTACCTGCAGTTCTTCAAGCAGGGAAGGCTGTTCACTTTCCTTCTCTTCCTCTTTTGCAGCAGCTCCCCTCTTGCACTGTCCCTAGCACAGGGTCCTTTGCTCTTACACACAGCTGATTTCTCTTCACTAAAATACGTGCAGGAAAATTAAGCATATGCTGCCCCTTATTATCATGTGTGCGGTTTAACGGTACATCCTACTGTCTGGAACTATTGGGATATCAGTGAGTTTCCCATGTAATGCACAATTTTTATCTTAGCTTTTGCTCCGCAGGGGGTTATATGCAAAGAGTGTTGCTTTAAAAGTCCAAATGAAGGGGAAGGGGAAATATCAAAGCCAAGCCATAAATAAATCTCAGTGATACGAACCTGTGCCAAGGCTCACATGAAAGTGGAGAAATGTTCATGAAAAATAATAAGCATAGGATTGCTTACAGGTTATGGAGACTGGCCAGGCTTTCAGTGACCTTGGCCTGAGGTGGAGTTTATAAGAAAACATGAAAACAGGCATACCTCACCTGGTTTCACTTTTAAAGGCAAATACTACAAACCTGGTTTCAGTGCGGCTGAGATACAGCTGCCACAGGAGCTATTCGCTTCAAAGTGTTCACGTTCACAACCAGAGTATTCTGTAAACTTGCACTGAATCACCTCAGCTTGAAAAAAAAAAAGAAAAAGAAAAAGAAAAAAAGAAAAGGAAACAAAAATTTAAAAATTGAGCAACCAAAGAGAAAAAACAAACCACAACAGACACCAGCTGCTGAAATGCATATTTTTTGCAACCCAAGATTCAGCTAGGAAAGTCTGCAGCAAAAATCTACGTGGAAGTACAAGAGAAAACAAAAGGGTAGCTCTTACCAGGTACATCTGGATGGAGTGATGGTACTGTTAGGTAGTGTCCAAGGATTTGCCCCCAGGAAATTACCAGGTAGAAAGGAGAATCCACGAAGCTCCTACTTCTTTTCTCAAGGAGACAGCAATGATTAACTGGGCAGACTTGAAGGTCTGGGACCCTCACTCTCCTCTTGCTACAATACCACTAGCAAGATGAGCTGAGCCAGCGCAGCAAGAGAAATAGTCTGCATCTTGCAGGACTTGAAGGATAGCAAGGTCCTACTCTTTTGAAGAACAGGAAGAGTCAGGGACTGAAGTGAGATACAGTGATATAGAGACAACAGGCCGTTCCACCCAGCTAACATTAACTGCTGCATGTTATAAACACTGAAAAACAAGAGCGTACAGCGAGATCCTCCATAATCACAGATACACTGCTTAGTGGATTAGGATGATTATGTTAATGTGTACGGTGTAGCATTATAATTCTGTGTGCAAACTTAATCACATTTATAATACCTTTGTGTGTGTGCGTTTGCCCATGCTTCGCTTATTTGCTTCTCCCACTAACATCTTCTCTTACATGCTAAACCATTCAGCATTTTTGTACGTAGGTATGAAGAGAGCCTTTCATGGACAAGAGAGTTGTATTACAAATACTACTGGAATCATACCTTTGCACTTCCTTAGCTACAAGGTTTAAATTTCTCAGCTTTCAGATTGTTGTAGACCAGAATTTTTCAAAATGGAATCATCCAGTTTAGCTTCCACTCTAGGAAAAGATCTTGAAAAATCCTGAAGCAAATGAGGAAGAAAAATCTCATTTCAATGTGCTTCTCAGTCACTGGAAAGCTTCTGAAAATTCCATCATAACCCTTTTGTTACCTAATAATTGGCTTGATTTTCATAGCTGTTCAACAGCCTGTCTTGATTTGTTAGATGACCACCTGGTCATCACTTCTAAATGTTTAGCTATATATTTGGGTACCTAAAAATATATTTCTACCCCTGACTATGAGGACCTATTTTGGAAAAGACTGTCCGTAGTTTCGTGCACAAAATAGTATTTACAAGGCTGTTGCTCTGGATGAAGTTCCTCCTATTTTACAGCCCCTTTGCCTAACTAATGGGTTGCATGTGGCAGTTGTATTGATTAATGTGGATTGTCGTTTAGCAGTTACAGGAAACTGTACGTATACGTATAACATTCTGGAGAAATGCCCAGAATTGGGAGTGGTTTTTATGCTGCCTCATTCAGGACTTAGGGGTACTGATTTCGTTCTACAAAGAAGTCAGAAGGGATAGGCAATAGAAATGGACATTCATTTTAAGTGTTAACACAGCTAAATCTGGGTTTAGGAGCATGTAGGGTAGAAAAGAAGTTGCGGTCGTCCCACCTTAGCATCCCTCTTTCCTGTGTAGTTTGGCTGCACAGGTTCCCTATTCATATTGCAGTTACCTTCAACCCCATAGCAAAGAAGATGTAGACACCATCACAAACACACCTTGTATAAGCAAAGTAAATGGAGTTGCTCCATTTACACCACACTCAGTTTGGGCAACTGATCATACAACCCACAAAACTTAATTTTAAGGATAAGTAAATACTAGCTTCATTTCCCAGAGAGGAAACTCACTCAGAGGTGTGAACTATGAATCCTGTCAGGAACTCACCATCCTGACCCTTGGCTTCCTGTTTTGTCCACTTCCTTGTAGTGGACAAAATCACTACACTGTAGTAGTAAATCATCAAATTTAGGAAAATCTGAAAAGGGTCAGAATTTTGCAAGAGGATTTGATTGACACTGAACATCATTGGTTAGCAAAACAGAATGGGAAGAGTACCAACTATTTACCAGGACTGCATGTTTTGGAGTATTTGTACTTCTGGAAGACTACATTGGAGATGTAGTGAAAGCAACCTCATTAGCAGTAACTAGTAGCTGAAGGCACTAGATGAATGAACACCCACTTTTAGTGAAGAAATGGGAGTTGTAAAACTGAGTTTGAGAGAGCCTATCTATTCTTCCACAATTAGTACATCATGAAGCATGATTTTTTACCTAGTAATAACAAAAAAACCTTTCACTTCAGTTCCTTGTTGAAATCACAGAAAGCCTGTACCAAAAATATGATTTCTTCTTAATCTCAAGAAAATCTAATTTGCATTCTTATTTCAGCTCCCCTTTGCTTTCTCTAAAATTCTTCACTCTTGTCAAATGATGATGTGGAATCTGTATTTTAATTACGTAGCTGTACACAGCAGCAAGGCATGTACTGCAGGAAACTTACTGTGCATCTCAACAAGATGTGCACATTTCTGCTTTTGCCACAAATATGTAACTTTGGTCCTGTATAGGTATGTTGACTCTATCCCAAGCATGTTTGCTATCTAACAGTGGTTTACACTGTCACAGAGTGGTATTTTAACAAACACATGCAGAATCTTAACATTTCCTGACAATTTACTCATATGCACATGCAAAAAAGAAAATGGTATTCAGATAGGAAGCTGTCAAAAAACTGTTTTCCTGTTTACCCAGCAGAGTCAGTACTTATAGCTTGAAAATTTTATTATTGTTCTCGATAATATTTAAATATTCTTACTAATACAAAAAATATAAACACATAATTTGCACTGCACACCTGAAACTTTCTGTTTCAAGATAAGAATACTCAGCCGATAAAACAGAGGGTTAAAACTACAGCTATCAGTGTAGACGGTATCAGTATCTGTGACTATGGAGCGTTAAACCCATTTAACTGGTTTGAACCAGTTTTTCAGTTAAGCTAGAAAGCCTCAGAGCAGAGATTTTGGAAACAGAAGCAGATTTGATATTAGTGATCAAAGTGATTATTAGTGATTATTAGGTACACAAACGTTGCTTCATATATTTAGAGCTAGTTGAATATTGCAGTGACCGTGGGGCTTCTTGCACCGGTAGCAATTTGTCATAAACTTCAGTGAGGCAAAGCTAGCTTTCAGCAGTTGTTCCATTTAGCTTTCTGCCTCTTGTTACATTTTATTAAAAACAGTTGTAGGAGTAATTACTGATCTGAGTAACAATTTGAAAATTGCTTTTTAGTTTAGTTGCTACAAACATCTGGTTTTGCATGTGAAGTGTGTAATATATGAACCAGAATACCTGTTACTTATCTCCCTCTCATTTTATCGTCTCATATAAACAGGAATGGTTTGATTCCTGCACTTATCCATGAAAATTATTCAAAATGCATAGAACTGATACACACAAACTGAAAATTGTTAATCCAGGTTCTAAATGAAGTTTATGAATCACAAGTATATTTCCAGGTCGTTGCATCAGTTTGTACATGACTGGCAAACATGAAAGGGGCTAAATTTGTTTGATAATTTATTTGTAATAATAATTTTAATAACTACTTATATTGATGGATTTAAGAGCTTTGGTAGTGATGTTTATCATGCAGTTTATTCTGAAAGCCTTTCATCTGCTGTAAAACCACAAAACTCTAGTCTCTTCAAATAAGCTGTAGGAATTTACTACATCTGAAAAGACAGTCTACAACAGTTACTTCAGGTGGCAAGCTCCAGTTCATTACCTCAGTTAAAACTTAACATCTCTTATACAGGGTTTCCAATCTTCAAAGAGATACCGAAATTCATCTTACCATGTTTTGTTCCAGCTCTTTTAAATTCATCACCTGACAGACTGTCTTGCTGTGTAAAAATAAACAAAGGCACTTTTGAAAAAACATTGACCAGTGCAGATTTTTGGCTACCCTAAAGATGTACGAGTGGTTCACTAAGGTGTGGGTGTGACGTGACACTTTTGCCTGTGGTTTATGTGTTAAAACTGTTTCATCTAATGAGCCACTAGCACGCAGGCAACCTGCTGCTGGTTGTTCGCATTGGGAATGAATGATTGTGGTCTGTATGTTTCTCATAGATCAGCACTCAACAGTTTCTTAATTGCATAAAAAGAGAAATCTCTGTCTTTTGAAGAAGTTTCACTTGTCACAGATGAAAATGGAGAAAGCTGATGCTTGGCAAGATGCAAAGTCTCAGGAATGGGAAGAGAAAGAAGGGAAAGGGAAGGGAAGGAAGGGACAGGAAAAGAAAGGGAAGGTAAAGGATTCTCTTCAGTATCCTTAGTTTTTCAATAGTTTATATGCTTTTGTTGTTATCTCTAAGATATATAATACAAATGAAAGAAAGCATACGAAAATGCAAACTGTCAGGTTTCTAACCTGGAACCCTTGGGTTCTACTTTCAGTCTCTGGATACAAACTTTGGCTCTTGTTAAAAGTTGATTTGAAATTGATGAGAACACCACAGTCCTTATCAGAAGAATAATCTTATTTTATAAAATTTCTTAGTTATCAAGTATCTTTATTTGTCTCCAAATAAATGATAATAACTCTACAAGCGTCTAGAAGGGAAGGGGGTAGCAGCTGCTTGTAAATGGGAGACTGGCATGAGGATGGAATTGGCTGGTTTTAGATTTCTAAGAAATGACGGCAGTTGCAATCCGTAGTTGGGTTTGGTTTGTCTAGAATTTGAAAATGGCTAGATTATGGACCTCAGTTTTGAGATGTCAAATTACACTCAATTGCTTATCTTATTTTATAGTTTTCTTAGCCCTGATTTCGTATCTCATAAAATCTTCCAAAGAATACTGCAGATTGGCAGCTTGAGTTTACATGTTACTCAGACTAAGTGTATGAATTTACCTAATTTGGTTTGCCTACAGCTGAAGGTGGTAATAGATATTTTTTCTTCCAAGTGTGCAACCCAGGAAAATCTAATATACCTGTGCTTTCTTTAAAAGTACAAACAATAATCTTCTCTGGATCTCTGGATCCTTCAAAACTGATCTATCATTGCATTGTCAGGCTCCTATGTCTCTTCTCTCCTATCCTAGAGAGGCTTGACTGAAATAGAAGATAGCTGTTTGAAGATCAGTGCTCCAAATGAATATTCCTGATGCTACTGAGATCAATACCATGTAGCTAAAAAGAACACATCCTAGTCTGTTCAACTCAAAGAGGAGATTTTTTATACTGCTACCAGAAAGAAGCTCAGAGTGAGAACTTGAGCACGGTACCACAGACCCGTCAAACTATTGAATTGTTAGCTAACTCCTGGCTCTGTTTAGGACCATTCTAACTCTCTCTCACACAAAGTCTGTATATGGTTCACCTCAGGGACAATGCCACAATGATATTTAAGTATGAATGGGATTGTAATAGTTTTGATTCTGTCCACCCTCTACAGACCTCCAATGCTATTTCAGTAGTTATTGCATCCTCAAACACCACTTCATGCTCTCAGGCCTTACCTGTGAGTGCTGCAACACATACCTTCAGATTCATGCTCTAGAAACACTGTTCTGATGGGCTGTCACACAGTCCCCACTTTGAACTGAAAAAACACACAGAAAATAATAGTAAGGCCCTGGGCACCATACGAATCCTGGAGCAGACTCAGGTCCAAGTACGATGTAGCATGTTTGCAGCCACTACACTCTTGAGAGGTTAATCCTAAACAGCATGGATATGAGGCAGTCTGGGCTTAGTACCAGATCAGGAGGATAGTCTTTGACCATCTTTTATTTAGTGACGTAGAAACAGCCTGAGAGTCTTTCTATTGACTGAGAGTAGGTCTCAGTGCCTACTAAACATCTTAAATGACACTCCCAGTGATCTCCTTCCTTCCATTTGTCTCTCAATGCCCCACTCCCATTCACCTCCTCTTGGTTTTGCTGGCTTCTCCCTCCGTCCTTCCCCTCCTTTCTCTCTCAGTGTTGCCCCTCAGGAACACGCCTCATTCATTTTGTCCAACATGCTAGTTAAACAGTAAAACAACTGAACAGCAGAACTGAAAAGGAAAAAATCACAGCATCCTCTTATGATGACAACATCACTCTTAAAATAACCTTTTTAACATAAGAGATAAACTAGACCTAACTTCGGGCTCATTCTTGTCCTCCAGAGTAAGTTACAGGCCCACTGAAGAAATAGAGAGATGACTGAAAAATTACTCACTGACTGCACAGAAGTGAGAAGCTATGCAGGAAAAAAATCAGTTCCTAACTAATGCTGTCAACTCTGCATTTGAAAGCCACATGTAAAAAATGGCAGAGATGTCATGCAGCACTAAAATGATCTGACAAAGGATGTACTTGCCATCTTCTCAGATAGTAGGAAAAAACCTGAACTAATAGGGAATCTCCTGAGCGTGTTTCAAATGTTGATTAAAAATAATGGAGAAATAAAGTGTTTAAAGCATGTTGTGCTCAATTCAAATATGTAAATGATTATATCTGAGTCACTGCTGCTACAACATTTGTTCTGGCTCTCTGAAAAGTTTCCAAACCCCTTTACTTTTACATGAGCATGACAATTGATTTAATGTAAGGACTATTTAACCACAGTAACGCATGATCTAAATTAGGTCAGTTGGTATTTGTGAGTGCGTTAGAAGTGTAACCTACGCAGATCAAATTAGGTCAGCCTGCTGTGTCCTGCTTATTGAAATATGCCTCTAGAACAGGAGATACAAAATCTATAAAAACATTGACTGAGAAAGCTAGAATTACATGGGATATACCCTGCCTTCTGTTTCAAATCAATGCAAGTTGCACAAATGTATCTCAATAAGGCCCTTATAAATCAAAGTGAGAAAATGTATTGGTAATTTATCTTTTCTAAGACAATATAAGATTATTCTTATCACATACTCCAATATTATTATATATGTCCTCCTACAATAATATTTTAATTCTTTCCCTCAAGTATTTACCCCTTTATTTCCACTGTAGTTCTGGCTGAATATAATTGCTTAATCAAGGAAGTCATCAAGGGTATTCTACAACACATTTTCTGCTTGCATAGCAGAAACAGCAGTATAGAAATGTCACTTTCTTCATCTTAAATTTTACATAAGTCTTCCAGTCTTTCTAAGTGTTAATTTTTATGTTCACACATTCTTTGGCTATGGAAAAGCAAGATGATAACATATATCAGAACTTTTTTCTTTGTTATACAGCTTCTTCCCTGACTAAGCCCTTAAGCGTGATGCTTTTGTTTCCCTAAAACATTTATGTGCCTTTGTAAGATACGCTTATTGGATTTTTATGTTATACTATATGTTCCTGTATTGATTAAGATCTCTCTTATAATACAGTACTACCAGAATAATAAGATTAATTCAGTATCTTGAAGATGCAGCTTACCTTCACTAATTCCTTATAAAGACTTTTGATGCTGACTCATGCAAATCTCTTGGTTTATAAATATATGCATGCACCATAGAGTCAGTATTCTTAGCACTTCACTACAGAAAACATGGGGCATTCCTTACCTGAAGGCAATGTATTTACTCTAATGTCTGAAAGCTTTTATGTCTGTAATAGAAAATAATAAAACTTCTAACTAGGCTTCCTGAAATCCATGTTTTGTGTACTGCTACACTCATTTAAGTTAAAAGCCTTAAAATGAACAATACCTTAACACAGCCGGCTCCATTAACACGCTACCATAACAGCATTATTTTGAAAAGCTGTGGTAAAATATTTTTCAAAATATTGTGCAACTCCTGTCAAACAATGTAATACAATCTAATCTAATGTATGAATTTGCAAACACACGTCATGTGAGAAGGAGTTTGTACTTCTAAATATAGATCAGGTGAGTAACTTTGTCCAGTTCTGGTATTAACACTTATCCGCAGATGTTGAAAAGAACCAATAGATAATGTAGATGGGAAAACCTGCTTTATGAAGCCTAAGTCCGCTTAACAGCTTAGCTTGTTCTCTGCCTGCAAGAGTGCTCAGACCACTTATATGGTCGCAAAACTCTCTAGCACTGAGTTGAACTCAGTGTTTCATAACTAATTCTCCAAGAGCTCTGATATGCTCAAGACCAGTTCTGTTTCTCACAGGCAAAAAATTAAACTACTAGAAAACAGCGCATCCCCAAAATACACCTGAAGTCCAAGAAGAGCACAGTTGATATCAATAGCACTTTTAAAAGAAAACTGCATCCGTGTTCTGCAGTAATATGGGCTCACTAATTTTCTAATGGGTCAATATGTTTTAAAACGTTGTAATGTGTTTGTTTATATTTGGCCTCTTCTACTTTAAAAACACATCAGAAAGCTTTGTTAGCAATTTATTGCGGAGATAGAAGGTGGGAGAAGAATTATGAATATTAAAATAATACCTGACTTCTAGAAAGGCTTAATGTAAGATGTTAAGTGTGATCAAACACCTTGAATACTTGAGCCCAGAACCTGAGCTCAGTAATTTAAAGGAATGCCCATACAGACATACAAGGAGAGGCATTATTTTGTCTCTGCCTTAAAGATTAAGAAAATATGTGGTCATTATGTTTACCTTTCCATAAAAATATGACTTTTTAACTTAGAAAACAAAGCATAATGAAACCCAGCATTGGAATCTGAAGTTAGAATTCAATCTGAAGCAGAGGTGCGCATTTTCAAAAATGAGGGTCATTAACCTTTGGAATAAGTTGGTATGTGATGTTCTGAGCTCTCTTTCTCCTAATCTCTTGAAATCATAAATAGACACTTTTCTAGCAACTGTCAAGCAGAATTACTGGGCTTTTTGTTGGGAACTTTAAAAGAAAGTCTTTGGCATTCAGAAAGTAAAATCTACAGATGAGAACTTGGCTTAGTCTGAAATCAGTAACAAAATGTCTATTGATTTTAGTAGAAACAACAATTCACTCTACAAATATAAATGCTCCAA